GCAGGTTCAAAATCAAATCCAAGTCGCGCAAAAGCCAATAGTGTCTCAACAAGTTTCTTCTTCAACTTCCTCCGTTCATCAACAATCTGTTCAACAAGTGCCTCACAGCCACGGAACTATTGCGGGGCTACCACAGGGCGTTACTGGTCCTACAGCCCCGTCGAGTTCCAACATAGTGCCTTTGGTCGAGGTGAAGAAGGAGCTTGGGCTTGAGGAAGTTTTAACCGCTACTGGTACGACACCAACCAGTCACTTGCAAACTGATACCAAAGATTTTCTTACTGCCAAAGAGGAGCTCATAGACAGCGCAATAGACGATAAAACTGGTGAGTAACATTTATCAACGTTTAACATCTAAGTTTTTCAAAGGATAAATAAGTTTGTGAAAATTTTTTGTTAGTGTTTCTAGAATAATCCAAACTTTTTTTAATGGAAAAAAAAAAGATTATATTATAAAATTAAAACATGCACACACATATATGTACAAAGTGTTCAAAAATTTATAATATTTTTAGAGCAGACTGAAACATACTTTGGCGTACATTTTACTAGTCTTGCTAAGATTTTTATAAAGTTGTGTCAGAGTTTCTATATGAAAGTTTAGATTTTTTAACTGACTCTTCTTTTTTTTTATTAGATATACATTCAGTGAATCTTCTTTTTTATTTACTTTCGAGAATTAAAATTTATTAAACTTTTTTTGGATATAAAAAATTACAATTTTTACTATATCTATATTTATATTACATATTCTTCAGATCTCAAGAAGTTAAAGAGAAGACAGTACCAGCAGAAACGAAAACAGAGTCAGGGGAAAGATGCTGTGACTGCACCTCAGAAAAAACGCTCTCGTAAAGTCTCACGTCTCGATGAGGATTACGAGACGTTTGTGGAAAACTTGATGACGCAATTACGGCAGCTACAACCAATGGTGGTACTGGAGCCTCTGCTAGGTCGCAACTATGGAGTGTGTCCAATTTTTGGATGTGGGGATCTTGTCAAGATTGGAAGTCAAAAGGATTATAACACGAGAATTGGTGATTTGATTGGAAATTACGGATCAGCTAGTTTACCGGGAATTTCCGATCATTATAATACGCAGCCTTTTGGAGAATTGAATCCTCTATCACCTCAGCAACCTTCGACTACACAGAGAGGATTCTATGAGCAGGAATTTCCGCCCTTGAAATTGGATGATAGTGAGCAACTATTTCATTATAAATATTTATATTTTATGATAATAAATATAATTTTAAAAAATTGTAAATAATTTCAATATTAATTACTATTTCAATTTTAAAGAATTTATAAGAAT